AGAAAAATACGTATCAATAAAAAATGGAAAGAAAATAGAAAGAGAGGAGAAACGAAAAAAGAAAAGAGAGAGAGAAAAAAAGAGAAAACCCAACAATCCCGAAGTGAAATCTGAAGAAACGAAAACGAAAATTAAAAAATGAAAAGTACAATAAACAAGCCCCCCTAAAAAGAAATAATAATGACAATAACAATACTAACTCAAGAATAACAAAAAATAGAACAAAAAATACAAAAGACAATAAACGAAAAAAAAAAAACAGAAAAAAAAACATACAAAAAACAATAACCGAAACAAAATAAAAAGAAAAAATATACAAAACACAATAACCGAAACAAAATAAAACACAGAAAAAATATACAAAACACAATAAACGAAAGAAAAAAAAAAGAAAAAAACAAACCGCAAAGTGAACCAGCGAAGGCCCCATGAAGAGCCCCTCCAAACGCGGGAAATCTTGGGGTCTTAAGCCTAGTTAAAGGAGTCTTAGCACCGCGACCTGAGGCTTTGCTGTGAGAAGGGGAAGAGGAGGGTGCCATGAGGAAGGGGAGGTGCATGAGGAAGGGGAAGGGTGATAGGGTGCCATGGGGAAGGGGCAGGGTGCCATGAGGAAGGGGAGGGTGCCATAAGGAAGGAAAGGGTGCCATGAGGAAGGAAGGGTGCCATGAGGAAGGGGAGGTGCCATGAGGGTGGGGAAGGGGAAGGGTGCCATGAGGAAGGGAAGGGTGTCATGAGAAAGGGAAGGGTGCCATGAGGGAGAAGGGTGCCATGAGGAAGGGGAGGGTGCCATGAGGGAGGGTGCCAGGGTGCCATGAGGGAGGGGAAGGGTGCCTCCCTCCAACGCGGGGAAATCTTGGGTCTTAAGCCTAGTTAAAGGAGTCTTAGCACCGCGACCTGAGGCTTTAGTGTGAGAAGGGGAAGAGAAGGGTGCCATGAGGAAGGGGAGGGTGCCATGAGGAAGGGAAGGGTGCCATGAGGAAGGGGAAGGGTGCCATGGGTGAGGAAGGGGAGGGTGCCATGAGGAAGGGAAGGGGCCATGAGGAAGGGGAGGGTCCATGGGTGCAATGAGGAAGGGGAAGGGTGCCATGAGGAAGGGAGGGGTGCCATGAGGGGAAGGGGAGGGTGCCATGAAGGAAGGGAAGGGTGCATGAGGAAGGGGAAGGGTGCCATGAGGGGGAGGGTGGCCATTGAAGGAAGTGGGGAAGGGTGCCAGGGTGCCATGAGGAAGAGAAGGGTGCCATGAGGAAGGAAGGGTGCCATGAGGAAGGGAAGGGTGCCATGAGGAAAGAGAAGGGTGCCATGAGGAAGGGAAGGGTGCCATGAGGATAAGGGTGCCATGAGAAGGGGAAGGGTGCCATGAGGAAGGGAGGTGCATGAGAAGGGAAGGGTGCCATGAGGAAGGGGAAGGGTGCCATGAGGAAGAAAAGGGTGCCATGAGGAAGAGAAGTGTGTCATAAGGAAGAGAAGGGTGCCATGAGGAAGGGAAGGGTGCCATGAGGAAAGAGAAGGTGCCATGAGGAAGGGAGGGTGCCATGAGGAAGGAAGGGTGCCAGGAGGAAGGGAAGGGTTCCATGAGAAGGAAGGGTGCCATGAGGAAGAGAAGAGTGCCATGAGGAAGAAAGGTGCCATGAGGAGAAAATGCATGAGGAAGAGAAGAATGCCATGAGGAAAAAAAGGGTGCCATGGAGGGAGAGGGTGCCATGAGGAAGAAAAGGGTGCCATGAGAAAGGAAGGTGCCTTGAGGAAGAAAAAGGGTGCCAAAGGAAGGAAAGAGTGCCATGAGGAAGGGGAGGGTGCCATGAGGAAGGGGAAGGTGCCATGAGAAGGGGAAGGGTGCTATGAGGAAGAGAAGGGTGTCATGAGGAAGGGAAGGGTGCCATGAGGAAAGGGAGGGTGCCATGAGGAAGGGGAGGGTGCTATGAGGAAGGGAAGGGTACCATGAGGAAGAGAAGAGTGTCATGAGGAAGAGAAGAGTGCCATGAGGAAGAAGAAGAGTGGCCAATGAGGAAAAAGAAGGTGCCATGAGGAAGAGAAGAGTGGCCATGAGGAAGAGAAGGGTGCCATGAGGAGAAGAGAGGGTGCCATGAGGAAGAGAAGAGTGCCATGAGGAAGAGAAAGAGTGCCATGAGGAGGAGAAGAGTGAGGAAGAGAAGTGCCATGAGGAAAAGAAGAGTGCCAAGAGGAGAGAGGAGGTGCCATGAAGGAAGAGAAGGGTGCCATGATGAGAAGAGAATGGTGCCATGAGGAAGAGAAGAGTGCCATGAGGAAGAGAAGGAGTCTTAGCACCGCGACCTGAGGCTTTAGTGTGAGAAGGGGAAGAGAAGGGTGCCATGAGGAAGGGGAGGGTGCATGAGGAAGGAGAAGGTGCCATGAGGAAGGGAAGGGTGCCATGAGGAAGGGGAGGGTGCCATGAGGAAGGGGAGGGTGCCATGAGAAGGGAGGGTGCATGAGGAAGGGGAAGGTGCCATGAGGAAGGGAAGGGTGCCATGAGGAAGAGAAGGGTGTCATAAGGAAGAGAAGGGTGCCATGAGGAAGGGAAGGGTGCCATGAGGAAGAGAAGAGTGCCCATGAGAAGGGAAGGGTGCCATGAGGAAGGGGGGTGCATGAGGAAGGGAAGGGTGCCATGAGGAAGGGAGGTGCATGAGGAAGAGGTGCCATGAGGAAGGGAAGGGTGCCATGAGGAAGGGAGGGTGCCATGAGGAAGGGGAGGGTGCCATGAGGAAGGGGAGGGTGCATGAGGAAGGGGAAGGTGCCATGAGGAAGGGAAAGGTGCCATGAGGAAGAGAAGGGTGTCATAAGGAAGAGGAAGGGTGCCATGAGGAAGGGAAGGGTGCCATGAGGAAGAGAAGGGTGCCATGAGGAAGGGAAGGGTGCCATGAGGAAGGGAAGGGTCCCATGAGGAAGGGAAGGGTGCCATGATGAGGAAGGGAAGGGTGCCATGAGGAAGGAAGGGTGCCATGAGGAAGGGAAGGGTGCCATGAGGAAGAAAAGGGTGCCATGAGGAAGAGAAGTGTGTCATAAGGAAGAAGGTGCCATGAGGAAGGGAAGGGTGCCATGAGAGAAGGGGCAAGGGTTGCCATGAGAAGGAAAGGAGGAAGGGAAGGGTTCCAGGAGGAAGGGAAGGGTGCCATGAGGAAGAGAAGAGTGCCATGAGGAAGAGAAGAGTGCCATGAGGAAGAAAAAGGTGCCATGAGGAAGAGAAGAATGCCATGAGGAAGAAAAGGGTGCCATGAGGAAGGGAAGGGTGCCATGAGAAAGAGAAGGGTGCCATGAGAAAGGGAAGGGTGCCTTGAGGAAGAAAAGGGTGCCATGAGGAAGGAAAGAGTGCCATGAGGAAGGGGAGGGTGCCATGAGGAAGGGGAAGGTGCCATGAGAAGGGGAAGGGTGCTATGAGGAAGAGAAGGGTGTCATGAGGAAGGGAAGGGTGCCATGAGGAAGGGAGGGTGCCATGAGGAAAAGGGAGGTGCTATGAGGAAGGGAAGGGTTGCCCCATGAGGAAGAAGGGTGCCATGAGGAAGAGTGCCATGAGGAAGAGAAGGGTGCCATGAGGAAGAGAAGGGTACCATGAGGAAGAGAAGAGTGCCATGAGGAAGAGAAGAGTGCCATGAGGAAGAGAAGGGTGCCATGAGGAAGAGAAGGGTACCATGAGGAAGAGAAGAGTGCCATGTGGAAGATAAGAGTGCCATGAGGAAGAGAAGGGTGCCATGAGGAAGAGAAGAGTGCCATGCTGCCATGAGGAAGAGAAGGGTACCATGAGTGCCATGAGGAAGAGAGAGTGCTAGTGCCATGAGAAATGAGAAAAGAAGAGTGCCATGAGGAAGAGAAGAGTGCCATAAGAGAAATGAGGAAGAAAAGGGTGCCATGAGGAAGAGAGTGCCCATGAGGAAGAGAAGAGTGCCATGTGGAAGATAAGAGTGCCATGAGGAAAGAGAAGAGTGCGAGTGCCATTAGGAAGAAAAGGGTGCCATGAGGAAGAGAAGAGTGCCATGAGGAAGAGAAGAGTGCCATGTGGAAGATAAGAGTGCCATGAGGAAGAGAAGGGTGCCATGACGAAGAGAAGAGTGCCATGAGGAAGAGATGAGTACCATGAGGAAGAGAAGAGTGCCATGTGGAAGAGAAGAGTGCCATGAGGAAGAGAAGAGTGCCCTGAGGAAGGGAAGGGTGCCATGAGGAAGAGAAGAATGCCATGAGGAAGGGGAGGGTGCCATGAGGAAGAGAAGGGTGCCATGAGGAAGAGAAGAATGCCATGAGGAAGAGGAGGGTGCCATGAGGAAGAGAAGGGTGCCATGAGGAAGAGAAGAATGCCATGAGGAAGCGGGTAAAAATAAGGCCTCACGAGAAAGAGGAAAGTGGTATGAGTAACCCAGACATTGCAGTGAATAAGTTGAAGGTGTCATGAGCTAAAAGACGAGCATCATGAGTAAGGGAAAGACTCCATGAGTAAGAACACCACCTTTTCGGCTGCTTGGAAAAAAAAAAAAAAAAAAAAAAAAAAAAAAAAAAAAAGAAAGAGAAAAAAGAAAAAAAGAGAACACCTTGTCTGTAGTTCACCTCCTGGTTTGGTTTTCACCCTTTTACGTCTCTCTTCATGGCGGTGCATTTTCTTCTTCTTCTTCTTCTTTCATGTTATAAAGTGATTGTTGGGACTATTGTGTGTTATATTTTAAAGGAGAAGAGAGTGATAGTATACAAAGTAGCTAAGTGGAACAAGAGTGAAAGTAATGTCATTTGATTAATGATTTTTCTTTTAGAATCTATAATCAACGGTCTATGGGGTCATGGATATAATACTTCAAATAAAAAAGAAAATTGTTTTTCGATTACTTTATTCGTTTTCTTTTAATTACCGGTTTATTCAGTGTTTTATTTTGTTTTTTTTATTTATTATTATTATTTTTATTTTTATTTTGCCATGTTTTTTTCCCTTCCTTTTTCCAGAAAGTTCATAACAAAAATGACAATTATCCCTTTTTTTCCGAAAACTTGTAACACGATATAGAATGGCTGTTAATGGCAGTAAAATACATGTTTGAACTGTAACTTATGGTATCGTGCAACATGAATTCGAAAACCACAAAAATAGCCTTTTTCAGGAGTGTAGAATAGATATTACCCCAAAACCCCAACAAAGAATTTCGAATTTGGTAGGTTGATATGCAATCATGTTGGGCAGAGAAACCACGTGTCTAATGTTGTTTGTCTGTATGTCTTTGTTTGTCTCTCTGTCTCTGTTTGTCTGTCTGTCTGTCTCTCTGTCTGTCTGTCTCTCTCTCTCTCTCTCTCTCTCTCTCTCTCTCTCTCTCTCTCTCTCTCTCTCTCTCTCTCTCTCTCTCTCTCTCTCTCTCCTCTCTCTCTCTCTCCCTCTCCTCTCCCTCCCTCTCTCTCTCTCTCTCCCTCTTCTCTCTCTCTCTCTCTCTCTCTCTCTCCTCTCTCTCTCTCTCTCTCTCTCTCTCTCTCTCTCTCTCTCTCTCTCTCTCTCTCTCTCTCCCTCCCTCCCTTCCTTTCTCTCTCTCTCTCTCTCTCTCTCTCTCTCTCTCTCTCTCTCTCTCCTCTCTCTCTGTTAAGTCGATGGAATTCTAGGGTGTCACGCAACGCAAATCAATGCCCTGGCTTACGTACTGTAAGGCAAACCCAAAGGCAGCTCAGAGGTCGTTCAAAACCGGCGCTCGAAGTAGTCTTCCTCTCCTCCCGGGCCCACACTTTCTAATGCAACTTCGAGGGTACCGATGTAATAGGGTAGGAACTAAGTGGTGACGGAAGAGGGATGGAAAGATACACTTGTGCGTTTTCTGCTGTAATAATCAGCTGGAAACGACGACGACCATGGCGAGGAGGACGAAAGTGACGACGAGGAGGACGGCGGCAAAGACGAAGTCGGCGATCGCAACAGAACAGACGAAAGAGGCGGTGAGTACGACAGCTCTAGCGTAGACGAGGAAGACGACGGTGATAATAATGATGAAGACGAATATGAGGAATATGACGGCGATAAAGACAATGACAATAAAAAGGACGAAGACAACAGCGACAGCGAAAACGACCGCGATAAAGAAGAAGGCGAAGACGACGACGATAAAAATGACGACGACGACGACGAAGACGACCGCGAACAAGAAGACCAAAACGCCGACGATGAAAATGACGAAGACAACGGCGACAACGAAGTCGAAGACAACGAAGAAGACGAAGACAACGACGATAAAGAGGACGAAGACGAAGACGGCAGCGACGACGACGAAGACAACGGCGGCGACGACAAAGACGACTTCCGGAAGACACGAGAATGGGTCTTCCGGGAAAAGTTCACCTCCCAGTAGCAGCCGCAGGAGCCCTGATGGCCGACGGGCGCCTTCGGTCTGCTGGCCTCGGGTAATGACCAAGAGCATCGTGAAAATTTTTATGTTCTTTCCTATTCTTGGGTTTTTCTTCTTCTTCCGTCTCTCTCTCTTTCGTGGTCTTTTCGGAATTCGTGAGAAAGATTTTTTAGAGATGCTAGAATAGAAGGAATTAAACAGAAAATTGCGGAAGCTCTACAGTTATTGTTTGTGTGAAATTAAGGAAGCTTATATATGTGTAGGTAAAACATTTGAAAATATAGAAAATATAGTATGATACTTCCTTTTGCAAACTGTTGATTGCGTCTATTTGGATATGTAGTGCGGATAAATAGGAAGACGAACAGACGGGCAGATACACATATGCATACATGCGTTTACACACACATACATACACACACACACACACACACACACACACACACACACGTCACACACACACACACACACACACACACACACACACACACACACACACACACACACACACACACACACACACACACACACACTCACACACACACACACACACACACACACACACACACACACACACACACACACACACACACACACACACACACACACACACACACACACACACACACACACACACACACACACACACACACACACACACACACACACACACAACACACACACACACACACACACACACACACACACACACACACACACACACACACACACACACACACACACACACACACACACACACACACACACACACACACACACACATATATATATATATATATATATATATATATATATATATATATATATATATATATATATATATATATATATATATATATATATATATATATATATATATATATATATATATATATATATATGTATGTATGTATACATACACACACACACACACACACATGTATATATATATATATATATATATATATATATATATATATATATATATATATATATATATATATATATATATATATATGACATGAACAAATAAATGAAAAAGAAAAAATAAACTGTTGTCGCGTTATCCTTTGATCCAAATACATACTCTTCCCCTTAAGCAGGGAACTCTCGTGTTTACGCAAAATGGAGAGTGAACGCTACTTTTCAATAATCAGGTTAAATCCTATCTTGGCAAAATTCAATAAAACGTTATAACACAGAAGTTTCCTTAGAAACCAGACCGATAACAAGCAATATCCACGGTTTCAACATCTGTGTTATGCAACGTCAATATTTCAATATTTCAGAACCACAACATATCAAAATCTCTCCGTTAAAGGTACCCAATGTACTCACTTCTAGTACGAATATATTACAAAACACGTACCCTCAGCTCTTGTAAATGTACAGTACCTTTGTAACAGGATTCAGGCGATTTTTGCGTCATAGGAGAGAAGTAAATGGGAAAATAAGCCTCTTTGTATGTTCGTCAGTGCCTTGTTTGGCTAAGCGTGGCTGTATTGCATCGAATATTTATGGCTATGTGTGCGAGAGACTGTAGATAGACAGGTGGATAGCTTGATACATAAAGAGAGGGAGCGAGAGAATAGATATATGTATATAGGTAAATAGTTAGAGAGGGAGAGAGAATACATATACCTATATATAATATATATATATATATATATATATATATATATATATATATATATATATATATATATATATATATATATATATATATAGAGAGAGAGAGAGAGAGAGAGAGAGAGAGAGAGAGAGAGAGAGAGAGAGAGAGAGAGAGAGAGAGGAGAGAGAGAGAGATAGAGAGAGAGAGAGAAAGAAAGAAAGCGAGAGAGATAGAAAGGAGGAGAGAGAGAGAGAGAGGAAAAGAGAACGAGAGAGACAGAAAGGAGGAGAGAGGGAGAGAGAGAAAGAGAGAAAGGGGGGTAAGACACAGAGAAAGAAATTTATAGCGAGAAAAGAGTAAGAAAGGAGAATACAAAGTGAGACAGCAAGAGACTAGAAGAGAGTCAAGATGACAGAAAGACGGAGAATGGAACGAGAGACAAGAAGAAACAGAGAGAGCATTAAAAAGAAAAAAAAAAAACATATATAAAACTTTTACGATGCTCCTGGTCATTGCTGGCGACTGGTGGAGCTCAAAGACCTCTCAACCGTAATGGTTCTTGAGTCGATAGTAAACGATGAACCATTAGCCACAGCGAGAAAGTTGGTTCGTCAGTCTTTGAAGGCGTCTGTTGAACCGCCATGCAGGCCACGCAGCTTGGGTTCCATGACTGGGTGTTTGTTGTTGTTGTTGTTTGTTTTTTGTTTGTTTGTTTGTTTGTTTTTGCTTTTTGAGTTATGAACTTTGGTATATTCGTTATCATAGTAAATAAATAAATGGAGATGTGAATGATTTATTTAGTGAGTTAATGAATATATAAATAGATAAGGAAGTAAACAATGAATTCAATAACGGAATAAATGAATAAAAAGTAATAATTAATTCAATAACTGAATAAATGAATAAAAAGTAATAATTAATTGAATAACTGAATAAATGAATGAAAATGTAATAATCAATTCAATAAGTTAATGAAATGGACTGATAACTGAGGAATTAAATAATCAATTCAAATAGCTAATAAATGTAAGAATAAGTGAGTAAGTAAATAATTGATTCAGTCAGTCAATTGATGAATAATAAATCAATGAATAAATAGAAAAGTGAATAATCATTCAATCGATAACAGATAAATAATAAATTAATTAAGAAATAGGGAAGTCAGTAGTTAAATTTAATAAGTTATGCATCTGTTTATCATTCGTGGCTATTGCTATTCCCTCGATTATTATATTTCATTTATTATTGTTGACTTAATTTTTCATAAAAGTATATCAAGAAATTAATGGCTTCCATATATTTTCACTAATTTCATTTGTTTATTAGCATTTTAATTCACCGTATATATATTTTTTCTTTCTTTCTTTCTTTCTTCTTTTTTTTTTTTTTTTTTTTTTTGTTTACTGGTATTTTGATTCTGTTGTAATTTATTAACAAAAATCTTTGGTTACTGAAGAGACCTAGATGATTATTAAATGAATTATATCTCATAGTTTCTGTTCTTATGATAGTTGCTTATATATGTGTTATGTAAGTCATGTCTTAATACATTATATATTTTTCTTTCAAAATGCAAAAGTTTGAGATGATGAAAGTTAAGTTTTCTTTAAAATTTGAATAATCTGACGGGATGGAAAAAAACATTAATTGTTTGCAAAATAACCCAACCCCTTGCTTAAAAAAAAAAAAAAAAAAAAAAAAAAAAAAAAAAAAATCTCGTGTAAAAAACAAACTTGCAAACTCTGGATCATAAACTGTCAAGACATTATGACCTCTTGTGTACGGCAAAGTCAGTTGCACACGTACACACACACATACACACAGGCATGCACACACACATCAAAGAGAGATAGATAGATGGATGAGATTATCGATTCTCTCTCTTCTCTCTCTTTCTCTCTCTCTTTCTCTTTTCAACTCTTACTTTGTCTGTCTGTTTCTCTCTCTCATTCTCTTTCTCTTTTCTTTCTCTCTCTCTCTCTCTCTCTCTCTCTCTCTCTCTCTCTCTCTCTCTCTCTCTCTCTCTCTCTCTCTCTCTCTCTCTCTCTCTCTCTCTCTCACTCTCTCTCATTTCAATAAAAAATGAAACAAAAATTCTTAAAGACGCTATATCCATTCCCTTCCACCTGATGAACTTGAGACGATCCCAAAAGATGAAGAAAAAATGCACGAAAATAAAATATATATATATTTACGTAGTATCTTTGGTCGAGACTGGAATAATTTTCTCGGGCTCGAAAACATATCAACTTTGTGATATTTTCTCAAGAAAATGTATATCCTTTTAACGAAGTCCTTGTGTCTGCTGACCGAAAAGACATCTGTGACATATTTGTTCCCTGATGTACAAGCAAGAGGCCACGTGCATGTTTTATAAAGATTAAAAAATCATGAGGAAAAGTGAAACATGTGTCGTAAAGGTGATAATGGTCTTTATGGCGAAGGTCGTAATAATGAGGATGTCTATATGAAAAAAAAAAAAAAATCGTAATAAGGATGGTGGTCTTTCTGATGAAGCTTATAATAATGATGATGGTCTTATGGTGAAGATCGCATTTCTAAGGACCATTTTTATGATTAAGATCGCAATTATAATGATAATAATGATTCTATGATGAAAATCGTCATGATAATGTCTTTATGATAACGATCGTGATAATGGTTATGGTCTTTATGATGAAGATCGCAATGAAAAAAAAATCTACATAATAAAGAAATCTATAATAGAGACGTTCATTATAACAGTACCGTAATTATAACAATAATCATAAGCATACCTTAGAGAACCTCAAAGACGGCATATCTCCGCCTGTGCCCATGAATCTCTATCGCAATCATGATGAATCTAAGTTCATTAGGCAAAGGTAGAGAGAGGTATGAATGCATAACCTCAAGTAACTGACGCGTTTCGATCAAAGATTCGTGAGAAATCCATCTGATGAAGATTTAATTGGAACACGTTAAATGCATCCCTTGCTGCGAGTGGGAAAGGCTTTACATCCACTGATGAATTCAAAACCCAAATCTTGTTACAAAATCTAGTAAATTGCTCCGTGATTTAGGTATATATGTGTGTGTGTGTGTGTATGTGTGGTGTGTGTGTGTGTGTGTGTGTGTGTGTGTGTGTGTGTGTGTGTGTGTGTGTGTGTGTGTGTGCATATATATATGTAGATAGATAGATAGATAGTTAGATGGACAGATAGACATTCATATATATAATATATATATATATATATATATATATATATATATATATATAATATATATATATACATTTATATATACATATACAAATACACACACACGAACACATATATACATATGTAATATATATCTATATCTATATCTATATCTATCTATCTATCTATCTATCTAATCTATCTATATATAT